GATTTATGTCTTTAGTCTCATTCATGCTTCCAGCATTGACTAGACTCAACCAAATTTTTATCTCATTAAATTCTCCACTACAAGTGGCTCATTTTCTGCAGGGATATAAGACTTACTCACTCCTTTGTGATCAGAAATATTTGGCATTTATCTTGCTAAAGTTTGCAAGGTAATTATATTTTGAACTTCAAGTTTAATTATGCTTGTACGTGGATCAAAATAATTCATTTAGTTTTTCTTTCAAAATAACTTCTCAAGATTCATTAAGCTTCTGGCTTTCTGCCCCTAATGCCGGAAAGTGTCCTCATTAAATATTTAAGTAAGACGTTCATCAAGGACCCAAGCACTTGATTTTGTATTAAGTCTAAAAAACTCACGTAAATATCAAACCTACAAATGACATAAGGACATATATAATCCAATCAAAAATGTGCAGATGGAAAACATACAGTTCACGTCCACGTATAAGTTCAAGAAAGGAGTATGCTTAAAAGCATATGAGATAGTGAACATCAGGTTCATGATTAATTTTTAAAATCAATGACAAACACAAATATTATTTCATATTTTTCTTTCATATTTCTAGAGATTAATGAGATAATTTTTTCTATATCAGGTCCACTTTTGGGGGCCCTTTCTAGAAATACGAAGTAACTAGTCTATTATTGACCTCTTCAAGAGTATCACTTTGAAGTCTAATTCCTTTTCTCAAAGAATAAAATTATTTTTGTACTTTAGACTTATTAGCCATGATGTCCTTTAGGGACAATCAGTCATATAATAATATTTGTAACTGTTTGCAATATTCTGCAAATTAATTATTATTTTGAATTTCAAGTTCACAATCATTTGGGCATATAACTAGATGGATAATTCATTAAATTGATTTATCTAAATAAATAATTAGCACTTCTAGATCTATTGCAAATATTGTTACAGACATTCCCATGACCACATCCATGATTATGTTATTGTATTGCATTCACGTCAAGGAATAACACAAAAATTGGCAGAAATTTTGCATGATCTAATTAACCTTTTGCCATATTTGGTTTTGATATCATCATAGAAATGATAAAGAAATATTATTTCACCGGCATGCTCCTGCTGGGAGATCTTATCTCAAGGTAACATTACGAACATAATCTAGAATTATAGTTTTTTGATATGATTGCTTCTCAAGGTAACATAATACAAGCTCTTTTGGATCCTTCAATCATGTCTAAAATTATAGTTTGAAACATTCGCTTCAGGGAATATGCTTTAACTCATTGGCCAAACATTACGAACATATTTTCTTGATATGACTACTTCTGGAACATATTCAAGAGGCATAAAATTAAATAATATTTTCACTGAAAATTCTATTTCAAATTATTAATCAAATTGGTTAGATCTTTTCAATCATGATATGGAGCTATAGTTCTTCAGAAATTATACCATATATATTCATAAGAATAATAACCAAGAAAAATTATTTGTTTTTCTAAAGTAAAGATGACTAAACAATCACACAAGAGGGGCGAGTTATGTGATACTTCTTTTTCAAAAAATAACTAAAAATACAACTTTTAATATGCAACTCAACCAAAAACAAATTCAAACAGATTGTAAACCTTTTTCCCAATATAGAATAGAATTAAAACATTCCAAATAACATAAATTCAGAAGTAATTTATAGATTATATGCAGCGGTATCAAATTAATGGGAAAATAGATGAAGTTCAATGTTTATGCCCACCTTTTCCAAGAAATCATTCAAGAACGAATTAAAATAGAATTCTTATGTTATCCAACCTTCATACAGATTCAATTTACACATATTACTGGAATCAAAAACAAAATCAATTGATAGAAATCAAAGAGATAAGGGTAAGGAAGAATCACATCGGGGTTTATCCTAGTTCACTCTCTAAACCACGTGAGAGTTATGTCTAGACTGATGTCGATTGTTTCCACTCTCTTCTAGCTTTTAACTGGTGCCAGAAAAACCAATTTACACAAGTTTTTACAAGTCTATGATCAAACATTTGATCACACTCAACCTATCACCTATAGGGTCTCTCTAAACGTTCAAGATTCAATTACAGCAATTCACTCTTGCCAAACAGATGTAGAGCTATCTCTCTATGTTCAATAGAAATAGAAAGAATAGAAAAGATTGAGAAACGAGAGAGTTATTCAGATTCTCCTATAAGATATACAAAAAGGGTCAAATGACATCAATTTTGTGATTTATGTGATTCTGAGTTTTTCAGTGTGTATTCTTGTGTTCAAAACCCTAATGATATGTATTTATAGGTGCCCAATGAGTTAGTAACCGTTTATAGTCGTTGGACATCTAAAATTTTGAAATCATGTCACTTTAATGAATTTACTAGGGTAAATGTCAATGCCTTCCCCGGGTAAATTGTTCTTCGATATTTACTCGGGTAAATCAAATCATTTCCCCAAGTAAATAATTTACTCGAGTAAATGTCCTGTTTTACTCGGGTAAATATAGAATAGTGACTAAGGTAATATGCAATTTCGATCCAAATCACTTCTATATGATTTCTAATCATTTCTATATGATTCTACGTGACTTCTGATGTATGTATGGTCATGTTTCACATTTGTATAACAACTTTTAATGTGGGTGAACTTGTATGCATGATGTAAATGAATATGTGTCACTTTTTGTGAGTTTTTTTTGTCTAACTTTGCAATCCTTGAGTTAAACCTCAATAACCTCATTTCTATAAGTTCTATAACGAATATAAGACTATTTAAAAGTAGTAGCTCAATCAATCTTCATTGTCTTCTTGATTTAGCCTTCTAGTACTCCATTTAGCTTGAGACTTTGACTTGATGGTTGACTTTGTCATTTTGAGTTTTCTCTTCAACTTTGCACTTTGTTATAGGCTTCTTGCAGCACTTGAAACTTGTTGCCATGCCGTGTATTGAGAGCTTCCATGTTGATCCTTTGTTGATGCTTTGTTATCATCAAAACTTCATTAACATGGTCTTCTTGACCTATGGTTCAACAATCTCACCCTTTTTGCCTGATGATAAACACTTAATTGAGAAATTGGGTTAGTAGTATTAGCAATTAAAATCAAACTCCCCCTACATATATGCTGCTCCTTACTAGGAAAGGAAAAGTCAACAATTTCCATAAAAAGTCAATATTTTTCATTCTTTGTAAAAACACTAAAGGAACGTAAGGTAATCAATAAGGTAGGAACATAAGGTAATCAAAATTTCTCAATTACAACATATTTCTCCCCCTTTTGGCAACATCAAAAAGTACAAAAATATGAAAATATCATATAATGTCAAAAAGTCAACTTAAAGTCAAACTATCTTCATATATATCAAGATTTTGCATCAAATCCTTGAAGTACATCCAAAACTCATTCAAAAACACTTAAATTTCCAGATTTGACAGTAATTACAGAAATGCCATAAACTTTTTTTAAAATTTTCAAAAGTTACTTCTTTTGTAAACTAGTGACATTAAAGTAACAAGTAATCATCAAAACTCACATGAATGGTATCAAAACATTAAAATAAGGTATTAGAGCATTAAAAACATCAATACCAAACATTAAATCATATAAGTATTAAGAGATGGTATTTAACAAACCTAATTCCAATTTTAGCTTTTCAATTGATCTTTTGGTAATGGTTTGGTGAAAATATCCGCTAATTGAGCATGTGAATCTACAAATTTCATATTTACATCTTCTTTACGAACATGGTCTCTAATGAAATGATGCATAATATCAATATGCTTAGTCCTTGAGTGCATAATGGAATTCTTAGTCAAATTAATTGCACTAGTGTTATCACACTGTGATGCTTTAGCTCCACTCTCCAACTTTGTCCAGAGGCAAGCATGAAAATAACTTAGGAAAGCTTGGTTCTTTCTTTACAAAGGAGGTTTCTTGATGGTCAATGGTGGTGTAAGTTTTTCAAACTAGCAAGATAATGAAAGGGTAGCGCTCAACTTCAAAAGACAGCATCTTGCAACCTCACAGGAAAAGTTTTTCTCCTTCCCAATGCTTGCTCTCAAGTGTTTGTCAAGGTTCCATGTTGAAAAAGTGTGTAAAGGTGGTGTCTTGGTGATTTCCTTAGAGGAGAAGTCATGGAACCATGATGAACAGAAGATGGCAGCAATGAGAGATGTGTGAGGAAGGAGTCTACATAGGTGAAATAAGAAAATGAGAGTGAGAGAGTAGCTTTTGCTATTTTAGGGAGACTCACAAACTTAACTGGTACTAATTTACAAAACCTCACTCGCTTAAATCTCTAATCATTTTGGACCACCGAGTCAAATAAAATTTATGGCGCATAAATCTATAATTTATTTTCAGTTCCGGGTATTTTTCTATACCTGCATTTTCTAACGTGGTACCCGCAGTATCAGCATTTTTCACCAAAAATGACTAAATTCCAATAATTAATATTTCCTACTAATATTATCATAATTATTTTATTGTCATTAACTTCATAAAATTTATGGAATAATAATTGCTAATCATCTTTAAGTTTCAGGCAATTTTGCCTACTGCATTTTTAATGTGAAACCCTCACTATTTATCCTTTTCTCAAAAGTGCTTTAACTTAAATTAATTAACATAATTAAATCTTCCATTTAATAATTCTCATTTAATTATTACTTAATTTCTAAAATTATAATTTAACAGTGCGAGTTCTTACAACAGACACCTTGGATGGTGTGATAAAAAAATAAAATTCACATCTTAACCCAAATAAATAAAATAACAACTATGCTAAGTGATAGTATAGAAGTGTTAAAGAAAACTTGTTTTCCTTTGACCAGAGGTAAGGAGTTTTTTTCAAAAAATAAAATAAAATAATTCTATCCATTCTTTCACTAATTTTACCACATAAAAGAAGGGCGTATTAATTAATACTATAGATTTAAAAGAACATAGTGGCATGACCACTGTTGAAACGGCATTAAAATTGTCGTTGATGTGTAGAAAGGATGATCCAAATAATGCACTCTTCTTGAGTAGCAAACTTCAACGAGGTCCTTATTTGAGGTGCCTCAGGTTATTCATGAGTTTACAGGCCCTTGTAGGAGGCATCATAAGTGAACGATAATAACAAGGGAGTCAATTGATTCACCAGTAATCCCCACAAGAACAGCTTCCATTCTTAAAATGATGGAACCTACGCAAATCACGCACTATAATTTCCCTTCCTGTAACAAGTGATATGTACTTAGTGGCATCATGGCAATCACCACAAACTCTTAGATTCTTCCTCACATGTATTGTTGTACCAGGGCTTGTATTCAAAAGTCCAAATGCAATAGCAAGCCTCTCACTATGGCTACTCAGCAATTGTTCCTTCACATCTTCTTCCACATCATGAATTGAATTGGTGTCCGGTACATAACCAGCAGCTTTTATCTCATCTCCAAGAGTCTCTAGAAAAGCATAGATTCTTTTGGATTGAGGATGATTGGTACTTCCTGAATAGAATGTGTGAACTTCATTTCTCAACTCCACCAAACTGCATCCTGGTGTTTTCTGCAGCCCCTTCTTCTCCATGGCCGTCCTAACCCGCGCCACTTTGTCCCACATTGAAGCAGAAGCATACATGTTTGCAAGCAACACATGATACCCACCCTCATCTGGGTCTAACTCAAATAGTTTGTCTGCAACATTCTCGCCCAATTTTACATTTTTATGAATTCTGCAAGCACCTAGCATTGCACCTAAAACAGTAATCCCGGGTTTGATAGGCATCTTCTGGATGAAACTCCAAGCTTCATCTAGCCGGCCAGCACGACCAAGGAGATCAACCATGGCACCATAGTGATCCATTGCAGGCTCCAAGCCATAATTTTCCTTCATGCTTTCAAAGTAGTAGAGGCCCTCTTCCACAAAACCTGAGTGACTACAAGCTGAGATAACAGACAGAAATGTTATATCATTAGGCTTAACTGCTCCCTTCTGCATTTCATTGAAGAGATCCAGAGCTGCTTGTCCAAGTCCATGTGTCCCATATCCATCTATCATGGCATTCCAAGTTATTACGTGCCGCTCTTGCATCATGTCAAAAAGCTTTCTCGCGGTTCGGATGGCTCCGCATTTTGCATATGTGTCAACAAGAGCTGTAGAAACAAAGACATTCTTGTCCATAGAAGTTCTTATGGCAAGTCCATGTATCCACTTAGCCTGGCGGGTAACTGATAAATCTGCAAGAGCAGTGATTACACTCACTAATGTAAAGGAATCAGGTTTAATGTCTTGAGATTGCATCATACAGAATAGATTTAAAGCTTCATTTACGCACCCATTTTGTGCATAACCTAATATCATGGCATTCCATGTCACGTTTGTTTTCGCTTTCAAATTATGAAATACTGAGGCTGCAATATCAACTCTCTTACACTTTGAATACATGGATATTAAAGAGTTCATAACTGACACATCAAAATCAAGTTTCTTCTGCTCCAATAATTTATGAACAAATCTCCCCCGTTCAAGATCACCTAAATTAGCACAAGCATGTAATGCTCCCATCATACTAACATTTGTAGGTTCCACCCCTTCATTCAACATCTTTAAAAATGTCGCAAACGCTTCTTCAGATTCACCATTTTGTGCAAAACCATCGATCATTGTATTCCACGAAATAACATTCTTGCTACTCATCCCCTTAAAAACCAACCTTGCAGTCCTTACAGACCCACATTTGAAGTACATATCCAGAAGCGCCGTCGCAACATTAACCAGAGATTCAAATCCTGATCTGAAAGCATAGCCATGAATAGACCTTCCAATACTCAAAGCCTTGATATCCGCCACAGCCGGCAAAATACTCACCAATGTGATTGAATCAGGCTTTTGGCAAGCTTCCTGCATCTGCAAAACCAAATCCACAGCTCTCCTGGCAAAGCCATTCTGCGCATATCCTGCAACCAAAGTATTCCAAGAGACCAAATCTTTTTTTGGCATTCTCTCAAACATCTTATACGCATCATCAATCTGCCTACATTTCGCATACAAGTTCACAACAGCAGTCATGGCAAATAAATTGGACTCATACCCATTAGTTATTAGCTGCCCATGAATCTCTCGACCCCTTTTGAGGTCCAAATTCTCACCACACAATTGCAACAAGTAAGTGAAATCATACACCACTGGTCTAACCTCATCACACTTCATCCTATGGTAAAAGGACAAGGCATCACCTAAAGTTGAGTTTTTTGCATACCCTTTGAGCATAGTGTGGTAAAGCACATCAAGCTTGTGCTCAACAGGCTCAAAGACACGAAGTGCTTCACTGATGCTGCCATATTTGCAGAACAAGCTTACAAGCTTGGTCTGAAACAAGTGCTCATTGTAAAAACCGTTCTTGATGATGAGGGGCAGGATTTGGTGAAGCTCTTTCATGGAAGTGCAGAGTTCTAACAGTATAGCAGAAGGGTGCCTATAGACATGGGTAGGGATGAAGATTCTTTGATACAGAGGTGTTGTTGGCGCGGTTGTTTTGGAGTTTGAGTTGGTGTTGGTGTTTGTGTTGGGAACGGGTGCAGGGTGTAGAACTAAGAGCTGTGAGCTCATTCTTCTTCTATCTATCTCACCTTCGATTCAATGGGGAAAATTACCAAGTTCTCGAGGTTCGTAACATTATACCTGCATAAAAACGAATCTAAAATTTTCACCACCATAATAATTAAGGGATTCTATTTGGTCATCTTATATGATATAAGTCAGGTCTAGAGATAAAGTTGTTAAGATTCACTTTTTAAATAAAAAATAAAAAACAAATTAAAAAGTGGATCTATTAATTTTGTCTCTGCGACGTGACGTAACTTGTGTCGTGTAACACGATGATTATATTTTCCAATAATTAATCATAATATGTTTATGTATGAATAATTTTGACTAAATATACAATTTTGTACCTAAAATATGTTATTTGTTTTGGTTTTTAAAAGTTTTTTCTATACAAGTTAGTTTTGAAGTTATCAATTTCTTATCAAGTTTAATGTATCCAAAACTGTTAACTTGATATTGTACTTTCAGGGTCTATCCCTGGCCAGGCCAATAATTTAAACTTAAGTGATATGGTGATATAAGAGTGTAAATAGATTTGGTTACTCTTTGATTTAAATAGCTCACAACTATATGATTTTATTTTATTTTTGGAATCGGAACCTATTAGTCCTGTTGAGACTACGTTATTAACCTAGACCTATTAAACTATTTAAATATATCATGGGATAGGATATTATAATAATTAATTAGTGTTACTACCAATCAATTTTATTATTAGATCGATTATGTTGATTCAACGGTTATATTTATTTCCATCTTTGTATGGTTATCATCTCTGAAGCATGGACACGCCTTTTTTGGGAGAAAAAGCGTGTCGGACACTGACACGTTCGGACACGCTCTGACACGCGTCCGACACGCGGTCAACTTTTTGGGACACGTTGACTAAGGGGACACGCGATTTTGACCGAATCCGACACGCGGTCAACGTATCTGGACACGTTTTGGCATTTTTTGTAAAAATAAAATAAAAATAAAATTTAAAAAAAAAGTAAAAATATTTAATAAAAGTTATTGGATTAGAACCCTATGTTCTGTCTTCAAGCTGGACGGCGCTGCTACCCTTTTCTTCTTCGTCGTCTCCGTCGCCTCTCGCTCTTGCTCTCGCCTCATCTCTGCTCGTCTCCGAATCAGAAACCGTTCCTTCCTTTGATTTTGATTTCAACTGTTTAAGGTATGTAATGTTCTTATGATTCTTTTGACCACAAATTATTAGAAACCGTTCCTTCTTCGTCATCGCCTCTGGACCCGATTTTGATTTCAATTAAATGGCAGATATTCTTATGATTATTATTTATTATCCGTTCATAGCAACTATGCATACATAGAGTCGCTGTCACTCCCAAGTGAATATGGTGTAAGCATGAAAACACCACCAACAGAGACAAACCAGAAGAATTGTGGTATGTAATGTTCTCTAATTCTTTTTTTTGTAACTTGTTCATCTCTGTATTCATCTTTCAACTGTTGATGTACAATTTATTATCTTAAAAACTAGTGATTATCAGTCTTATGTCTCTTGTTGCTTGGCTGTTGGTGAAGAATTAAGATACAATATATGTTTCGGGAAATGAAAGTTACTGAACCTTGGAATTGTTTCTCTTTCAAATCCTTTGCATTGTACATTTTTTAATATATTATGGTAGAAGTTTTGGAGGAGCTGGAAAGAATTAAAGGTGGGGATGATAAGCCTAAGCATATAGAGGACGCATATGTTCAGGTGCTATGAACTCCCTGTGTAACATACATATAAATGAAGAGATTTCTTCTTTTCTTGATTGGTGCCTCGGTGTGTTTCAGTTCCTGTGCTCATCAATGCTATTACATAGCTTATCTATTTTAATTTAAGAAATACCAGAATTTCAGACATGGCTATCATTTTGATTATATATATTAAAAATATTATTTAGTATCAAAACGTGTCCAGCGTGTCCAAATTTGATATTTTTTAGAATTAACGTGTCAGCGTGTCGTGTCCTGCCGTGTCCCGTGTCAGTGTCCGTGCATCATAGGTTATGATTCCACATATTTAATCCTTTATATTTATTTTCACCTGTGTATGGTTATGATTTTCCATATTTAATGCTGGGGAATCATAACCATATAAATATGGAAATAAATATAACCGTTAGATCAATATAATCGATCTAACGGTGAAATTGATTAGTAGTAACATTTGTAGTAACACTAATTTGTTGTTAAAATATACTTCCCCATTTATCATACCTTTAAGATTATGGATATAAATGAGTTAAGTCAAGTTGGACTTTAGTCTAAATAGGTCAGTCATGTGTGAAATATTTTGAGCCAAATCTAACTTATTAGCCTAACATTTGTTAAATTATAAGTTTGACCTAAGTTTATTAGCTTATTAAACCTTCAATATCTATCAATAATTATAAAAAATAAATGTATTAATTTATTTTTTAAATAATTATTTATTTATTTTAATTAAAATAAATAATACGATATAGGTTAGCCTATAAACTTGTAAGCCAAGCCTTGTAAAACTAGGTCTATGACTTATTTCTAAATAAGTTTTGTTAAGGCAATTCCTTATTTCTATATATACTAGGCCAGACCTGGCCTGATGTAGGCCAAGTATAAGCCCTTAATAGGTCGTTTGACCTATTTATAATCCCTATCTTAGAACTATCAAGGTTTAGAAAAATAACTAAAATAATATTATTTTATTATTCAAAATTATTTATGCAATATATTTTTTATTTTATTTAAAATAAGAGTAAAGCTCATTTTGGGTCCTTAACAAAAAACACGGTCCTTACTTTAGTCTCTTACAAGAAAAAATTTAGTAGCCTGGTCCCAATGAAATTCAAAGTGGACCCATTTTAGTCTTTTTAAGGAACTAATGTGGGTCTTTTTTTGAATTTCATAGGATGGCGATTTCAACTAAATTGGTCTACTTTAAATTTCTTAGGAATCGCGGAACTAATTTTTTTTTGTAAGGGACTAAAGTGGGAATCATATTTTTTTTAGGGATCCAAAGGGGCTTTACTCTTAAAATAAATAATATGATATAAATTGACATAAAGACTTATAAGTTAGGCCTTTTCAAAGCAGACATGTTTTGTAAATAAGCTATTTTAAAGGCCGACTATTTTATTTTACTAAAAGTATTAGGTCAAACATGATCTAATGTATGCTAGGTTTTAGCCCCTAATAAGCCATCTAACATATTTATATCCCTAATGATAGTTCAATCTATATTGTGATTTTGAGATTTAGTTATACTTAGTGACTTATACTAGAATTTCTACTTCTGTATTATTGAATGTAAAAAAGTAAGGATGACAAAATAAGTCAACTAGTCAGGTTTGTGACGTGTCAAGGCTTGATCTACAGGTGAAATCGTCCAACCCAAACAAAACATGTATTCATTGACAACTCAAAAATTCAAGCTCTGACATGATGTATCACAGGTCATGAGTCATATAGGTTGACACACAAAAATTTAAAAAAAAAAATTAACAAAAATATTCAAATAGCAAGAAAACATGAATAAAATATGTGAGTTGACTCATACCCGTAGCAAGTTCTGTCAAAATCGCCAAAATTCTATCTCTTTTTTTTTTGACAAAAAAATTTACTACTTAAAACTCATGTTATCTCGTGATACTATAATAACCCTAACCTGTGAATTGGGAGTTCGTAAGTTGATTAAGAGTTTAATCATGGTTTAGATGGATTAATTAGATGAGAGGTATCGTGATACATATAATAACCCTAATATGTGAATTGGGAGTTCGTAAGTTGATTAAGAGTTTAATCATGGTTTAGATGGATTAATTAGATGAGAGGTCTAATTATATGAATTTAAATCACTTTTGAGCAAAAGTGAAAATAGTGAAAGTTTTGGGGCTAAAGTGCAAATATGCAAAAATTTCCCTCAACTTAAAAATGATGTCATAACATGATAATTCAGAAAATTTTGTGGGATCAAAATACAATTCTTAGATGTTTAATCGTTGGCCAGGATTGATTGAAATTAAGAAGGATTAGAAAAGGAAATTATGGTAATTAATTAAAAAGGTATTTGACCAAGTCAAAACTAATCGTTGGCTTCATGTTTTCACTTCTTCTCCTTCGTGTGACCAGGTCAAGGCCGAACCATTATGCTTGGAAGAGCTTGAAACTCATTTCTTGATCTAGCTATTAAAACACAAAACTTCCAACATGATAAATACTTAAAATCACTTGGGGATCAAAACCTAACCATAATTTACCTTTGGGGGGCTGTATATTGAGAGAAAAATGGAAGAGAAAGTGGCACCCTATTGTGACCATGAAGCTAGGAGAGGTGCTTGGTTCATTTTGGATGTTGGAGAATACTCCTTGGAACATTGTTAAGCCATTGGTGGTAAGAAATCTTAATTTCATTGAAAGTTTGACGATGATAAATTTGTAGGTTTTCATGGAATTTGTTGAATAAGTTGATGATGTTGGATTGTGATTTAAACATATGTTGGGAATTATGCTAGGAAGCATAAATAAATAATGAAAATGAATTGAAAACACCATTTTGACTATGTTGATGATTTTCGAAAATATAACATATAACAGTGTGGTTTACTTGTATTCCAAGTAACATATGTTGGGCTATTGATGATGGATTGTGTTCAACGGTTGTGGAGTGGAATCAAGCAATGGAGGATTCCATGGAGATTGACTAGAATTCTTGAGGATTCAAGTATCAGTTAATTGATTGTGTAGTTTGCAACCAAGTGGTGACTTGGTGGTGTGGGAAGCTTGGAACAAGTAATGAAGCTTGATGGAAAAACATGAAGGATTCAAGATTAGGTAAATCCTTAACCTAGAGACTTTGGTATGGAATTGCGTAGTTATGATGTGTGGATATAGATTTATGTTCACTTGTTTGCAATTGAATTGTATTTTGGAATTAAATTGCAAATTCACCTTGTTAGTAGGTATTGATTATAGCAAGGTTGATTGTTGGTGTTTTGGAGATAAAGCAAGCATTGTGAGATTTATTTGGTGTGAAGAAATCAATTGGTTAAGAAGCTTCAAGAGGTAAACTTTCGGACCTTGAGATTTATCCCTTTATTGTTCCACCAAGCCCTAAAAGGGTTGTGGTTTATATGGTATTTGTAAATGCAATGAATTGCAGTATAATGCATGATATATGTTTGCTTGGTTATGGACACAAGATGTAGTCTATAAGAACTCGCACTGTTAAATTAGGAACTTAAATAATTTAATTATGAATTTAAGAAAGGATTCCATAATTGACCTTGAATAAATATAGAAAGATTAGAATAATTACCGAGAAGGTCAAATAACGCTTAAATCGCTTTTTCGATGAAAAATGCAGATATTAGTTCTGCTTCACGGTATAAATGTGTACTAGAGAAGTATTCCGTAAAATTGCAATGAAAATACAAATATTCCTAGAAAAATATATAGGTCAAGGATATCAAGTTTGGAGTAAAGATAATGAGCGGTGATGTCCGAACTAATACTGGCTATGTACAAAACGCGTACCGGTAAAGTGTTTCAAAATACTATAACAAAAATATGATAATTCCTAGAAAAATGTCTAGGTTCAGAATATTAAGTTTGGTAGAAAAATGATTAGCGAAGCTATTAGAACTAATACCAACGGATTAATTACGTGCACCTATAAATGGGAATTGCACACACTCTAACAGCCCGTTGTACACCGGTGTTGTTAACATTAATTATGATATTAAACGCAGTTGCAATCACAACAATTCATTTATAAAAATGCGAATAATTTTTTTTCGATTATTACGCGAGCATTTAAAACTATAAAAAGCGTAATAATAAAAAGTTGTGACCGCAACTGAAAACTCTTGCGGAATACTTATTTAAACTATTTTTATGTCTTACTTTACTTATTATAAGTTACTAAGGGGTTCTCATAAACTCACTTAGCCAATTTCTCAACTTTACGTTTTTACCTTTATGAACATATTTCACTAATTATTTTTTTGCGAACACACCGCTTAAAACCATACTTTCCTCTCAGGTTATATTTTTTTATTACTTGATTCTTTTTCTAAAAAGCTATCACACGCTTTAATCGGAGCTCGTTTGCTCCGGTTATCGCCGTTTGAAGTTGGATAAGCAAAACAGCCAACCAACCCAACAGCTCAAAACCTCTCTCACTCCACGAATTTCTGCAGCAAATCCACTCTTCCAATTGTTCTCAAATTTGTATGCTAAAAACTAGGCACCTCAACCTTCAATTTGGTATATCATACGCTTAATTTGACTGTTAAACGAAGCGGGAATTAATTTCCCAAAAACTGCCAGAAACAGCCCCTGTATAAGGGGGTTCTGGACAGTCTGTGTTCAACGACTCCTACAGGGCTGCGTGCAACCAAGAATTTTCTCATATTTT